GTGCCCAGGGGGTAGTCTTTCATCTGGTATCACCCACGGATTGAGGTGCTGGGTTTGAGCCTGCCACTTTTGAACTCTCGCTTGCTGAGGTGTTCCAGCGAGTGTCTCTGTAGATCTAAGAAAACTATTTCTTGATTTAAGTCATTGACGTGCTGGCTGATACCCAAACAAGGGATGAGCTGGAGATGTCTCTGCCTTGGTCCTTTCACTATTGGCTGCAACTTCCCGGCGACGACTTGCAGCATGCAAATAAATAAATAAATCTTAGAGACTGAAGTGGGGGTGGGTCATCCTATGCAGGGCTCATGCGAACATGTGAAATGTGTGACTTCTTTTGTATAATCTGAAGAGGACCTTTTCATAGGAAACTTGAATTTATTTCCAAGAATATTAGAAGATGGTACCACTGGACTGGGACCTGGGAGATCTACGTTCTGTCTGGTCTCTTCTAAGACACAAAACATATGAGGTGATCTTGGGCTATGCATTTTCTCTCACACATACACACTGGCAAACCCTGTAGTATCATTGTTGTGAAGATGCATCACCTTGAATTCTCTGGAGGAAATGCAGGACATGAATGTGATTGCTAAGTAAAATAATGCAGACAGCTGCAAGGGTGAAAAAGTCAACGTCACACTTGGATACTCCTCTCACTTAGTTTTAGAAGACAGCCAGGTTAAATCCAAAATGAAGGTGATTTTTTCCCCTGAAAAAATGAAGCATAACATCTCGATCTCTGATGCACTGCAACATCTTCACCTTACATTTGTTGTAGCTGAAAATGCAAGCCAACAAGGACATTTGATTTTCACTCCAGTTACAGGTACTGGGTTATTTTCAGCAGCTGGAAAGACCATGGCACATTTGGGATACCATCACAAGTATACAACCTGGTAACGGAAAAGTTATATACCGGGAAGAAAGGAATGAAGTGGAAACTTATTACATTAAGCAAGCTGCTTAAACACAGGGTTTGCGATCGATCTGATCAATAACCGTCTGTAATTAGAGAGTCTGAGGCCATTCCACCACATCTCTACAAGACAGCGTTAAGAATGAGCTGATTTGTCAACGTCAACTAATGTTTGTTTGGTCACAGACAAGCAGAGCCAATAGCTTGAAAAAACGCATGCTTGAAGAATCCCCACATCCTTTGTCTAGGCCAGAAGCCAAGAAAGAAGCAAGTACAAGCTTGGAAACAGGCAGCAGGGAAGACGAATGAGTAACCTTTCTCAGAGACTGAACCTTCCAAATTGCTTTGGCTAGAAATTATTTTTGAGTTTGTTGAGACCTAACAACAGATATTCCCCTACAGCCTAAAGAAAACAACAACACTGGTTTATCTTCGGAGGAAAAAACCTAGATGTAGCAACTTCAAGTCAAAGTCTTAGTAGGCTCCATTTGCCTTGCATTCTGAAACTTCTAGTCCAAAATATAACCTTCTCCTGCTCTAGAAATACTATAAGCACTTGCAGGTGAAAAATATTTCAGTTTTGTTATTGATTGAGAAACGACGATATTAGGAACGTGACAAATATCAAAAGCAGAGCTTTCCAAAGATTTCATGTTGATGACACCCTTTTTAGATACGCATCATTTTGCAAAACAGTAATTCAGAAAAACAGCTTCTCCATCGCTGACTTCTTTCCTCAATGCTGCCCAAGGAGATTGGAAAATATATTCTAGATCAATGGTTCTCAACCTGGGTTCCCCAGATGTTTTCGGCTTACAACTCCCAGAAATCCTAGCCAGTTTACCAGCTATTAGAATTTCTGGGAGTTGGAGGCCAAAAACATCTGGGGATCCCAGGTTGAGAACCACTGATCTAGATTAAACTCTCCTCACTTCTCAAAGGGCAACTGTGAGAGCCTTGGCTGATTTTAGTGTGAGCTCTAGAACAGTGGTTCTCAACCCTCCTAATGCCGTGACCCCCAACCATAACATTATTTTTGTTGCTAGTTCATACCTGTAGTTTTGCTACTGTGATGAATCGTAATGAAAATATCTGATATGCAGAGTGTATTTTCATTCACTGCACCAAATTTGGCACAAATACTCCATACGCCCTAATCTGAATACTGGTGGGGTTGGGGGGGGGGTGATTTTTGTCATTTGGGAGTTGTAGTTGCTTGGATTTATTGTTAGCCTACAGTCAAGGAGTATTCTAAACTCCACCAACGATGGAATTGAACCAATCTTAGCACACAGAACTCCCATGACCAACAGAAAATACTAGAAGGGCATTTGTGGGCACTGACCTTGAGTTTTTAGAGTTGTAGTTCACCTACATCCCGAGAGCACTGTGGACTCAAACAGTGATGGATCTGGACCAAACATGGCAAAATTACTCAATATGCCCGAATGTGAACATTATTGGATTTTTGGGGAAAATAGACCTTGACATTTGGAAGTTGTAGTTACTGGGATTTATAGTTCACCTACAATCAAAGAGCATTCCAAACCCAACTAATGATAGAATTGGGCTAAACTTCCCACACAGAACCCCAAGACCAACAGAAAATACTGTGTTTTCTGATGGTCTTTGCCGACCCCTCTGACGTCCCCTTGCGACCCCTCCAGGGGTCCCAACCCCCAGGTTGAGAAACACTGCTCTAGAATATGTCAAAAAGGGTAGAAAATCACTATACAACTCTCTTTCCTTGGGTTACCAGCTTCTGGATACATCCCTGTGTGCAACGGAATATATTTCTATTTCTCCCATTGTAAGACAAATTCACTAACAACCACTGCTTCCTGAATAAGTAAATCTGACAAAAGAAAGAGAAGCATTCCTATTAGGACTGACAATGGAAAATGTTTTGCTCTTCAGACTGAGATTTCACCAGCTATTCAGATGCAGCTGCTTAAATAAATTGAATGAATGCACATACACCGAGCATGCAAGGTGGAAAATGCGTACCGTACAGCATGTCCTGATTTCAAATTATATCTTCCATTCAAATGTAAAAGCCCAAGACATTTCCGTTCTCAAGTTCACCGAAAAACCTTGCACCATAAATAAAACAACTCAACTGCCAGTTTTGAGTGGTGGCAAATTAGTCAAGATAACTTTCTGTCTTCATTTATCACATAATCCAATCCAGACAGTACCATTCTTGGGCAGAAACAGGCTGTGCTTGCCTGCACACAACCTATTTATTTATTATTTATTTATTTCGAACATTTTTTTAACCCCCAGAGGGACTCACGGCGGCTTCCAATTGGCAACAATTCGATGCCGCATCATAAAATACAAAACAGCAATGATAACAGTTAAAAACATAAACATTAAGACATAAAGATTAAAACAGTATACTTACAGTCTACTGAGCTATTACCAGTCTGGTGGCTGTTTATCTAGCCATATACTATTGAGTACTCCATTTAACTTATTCAAATCCACTTCCAAGCCATAGTCAGACATTATCCATTGTCCTTTAACCTAATTGCCCGAAGGCCTGGTCCCATATCCATGTTTTTACCTTCTTTCTAAAGGTGTGGAGGAATGATGACCTAATTTCCCTGGGAAGCAAATTCCACAGGTGGGAGGCCACCACCGAGAAGGCCGTGTCCCTCTTGGTGGCGACCTGGGAGCCATTGGCATAGTTCTAAGTTGCATACACGATCCAGTGCTAAACAACAAAGCATAGATACAACCCTAAACAAAATGACTGGCACAGAGTTCAAATTTATTCCCTTCAGACTTTCTGATAAACAAGTAGCCACAAAAATCTAAAGCATGGCTACTCTCCTCCGTTCAAGACTACTTGCCGGTTTCTTTGCTGTTACATTTGCAGCTGAATCACAGAGATTTTTAGAGGACTAGATTTCACATCAGTGGTACTGACATGAGATTGGAGAATATGGGGATCTGGAAGGAATTCCATGAGAGCCCCCAAACATATTTCCTCTAAAGCCAGCCTAGGATGACACAGCAATGAAGTATTTCATATGTTTGCATTCATTTTCTTATAAACACAATCATATCAAAGCGGACCCACCACCCTCAAAAGTCATGTCCAGGGTTAATACAGCGCCAGTGTTTGCCAATCTTTGGATTGAGGAATGGTTTCTCTGATTTGAAGCCCACCATCAGTTATGCTTTAGGGGCCCTGGTGGCGCAGTGGGTTAAACCCTGTGCTGGCAGGACTGAAGACCGACAGGTCGCAGGTTCGAATCCGGGGAGAGCGTGGATGAGTTCCCTCTATCAGCTCCAGCTCCTCATGCGGGGACATGAGAGAAGCCTCCCACAAGGATGATAAAACATCAAAACATCCGGGCGTCCCCTGGGCAACGTCCTTGCAGACGGCCAATTCTCTCACACCAGAAGCGACTTGCAGTTTCTCAAATCACTCCTGACACGACAAAAAAAAGTTATGCTTTTAATAAAAGATGCATGTATGCTGTCTTTAACAGCTCCCAAAAAAATGCTGCTTGCCAGCAGTCTCCCATTTCCTTTGCTCAGAGAATCACACCTAAGGACAAGATAATATTTTCTGGATAATTTGATGTGTCTTAGAATGCATCTACACTGTAGAATGTATGTTGTTTGGCAGCACTTTAACTGCCAAGGCTCAATGGTACGAAATCAGGGGAGCTGTAGTTTTACAAGATCTATAGCCTTTTCTGACAGAGTGCTGGTTCCTCACCAAACTACAACTCCCAAGTTTCACAGCACTGAGCCATGTCATTGAAAGTAGTGCCAAACTGCAATAAATTACAGTGTAGATTCCCCTACCTGTTCAGTATTCCAGCATTAAATGTCAGTCCCAAATCAACACTGCCAGGCATAAATCTGTATTACAGCATTCACTGTCAATCCCTGGTAGAAAAGTAAAACAGACTCTCTGTTTGGGAAAGTACTATCATATTATTGTTTACCAGTGAAAAAAAAACTACTGAAAATTGGAAAAATACTAGCAACATCCTCTTGCCAATCGGTAGAGCTGAAAGTTGAAGTTGTATTCCAGTGATGGAAAATGATTGAGGTATCTCACCTTCAAGAGTTCCCGTGGGAAATCTTGGCCTTCATTCATTCCCTGAAGATTGGCAATGAATTCTTGACAAGACATCTTCTTGCCAATGTTCTGAAAGAAACATGATAGAGAAATTGTAATGCATTTGAACGAGAAGCAACAGGATAGAAGGTTTTTTTAAAAAAAATGTAATATGAAATGCTCTAATGGATCTCCTCCCCTTTAGGATAGAAACCACGTTGTGAGCAGCAGTCCCAGGGACAGTCTTTGTCAGTATATCTGCATGAGTACAGCTTTAAAATACAAATCAGCATAAACAGGCTTCCCTACTGGGAAGGCAAGAATCAGTGAATAAGCAGTCCAGCAAGTATAATGGTGTCAATGAATCTTTGCAATTGCACAGGCTTTTGATCCACAGCCCTCCAAGTGCTTTACACAGAACTAGCTTGCATTCCAAAAATATTAAGGTCTTCCCACAAACAAAAGCTGGTATCATTTTGCTAGGATGAAAGCCTGAAATCGACACAGTGAAATTACATATGTAACACACCCCTTGAAAAAAAAAGCTTTACAAAAAAAGTCACAGAGAGTGTGGTGAAATGGAGATTTCTCATTTACCTGTACTGATTTTTTTCTAACTCTTTCTTTCCAATTTACATTTATAGATTTTTCTAATTCTAAGTAATTAAAAGTGTGCTTTACATTCAAGAGATAGGAAGTGAGTAATGGGAACAGGGTCTCTCATTTTTCCTTGGAGTAAATTTTCAGTTCTCTCTGCTTAAGCCTGTCATTCACAGAAAAAATGCTGTTGTGTGTCTTCAAGTCATTTTCCACTTATGGTGATGTAAGGGTGAACTTATGACGGGGTTTTCAAGGATGGGGGTGTATAACTTCCCTAAATACCTAATGGGTTCCTATGGGCAAACCCTGGTCTCCAGTTTCATAATCCATTCAACTATACCATCCTGCCATGGGGAATAGCAACCTTCTTTAAGCCTCCACTAGGAATTTGTTTTGTATATGAGTGTTGGGGTTCAGCCTGATCCTGATCTGTGTGAACCGGATTCTCTGACAGTTTTTCCAACTGAGCAAGCTCTCCCTGACCCTGACAGTGTGGAATCTGTTGTTGATGCAGAGGTCAGCAGCGATGAAAACGAAACTCAACAGCTGGAGGAAAATGTTTTGGAAGTTAGCCGTGATATCACTAGCCGTGATATCTCTCCACCTGGGGTTTTTAATGAGGACCGAAGAGAACAGATAGTTAGAGACAGAAATGTTTCCCAATTTCTACGAAGGTCACATCGTTTACAGGAGAGACAGGCCCAGACGTCAAAGTCAAGGGGCGTTTCAAAGAATAGCTTCTTTGGTTTAAGAGGCCTCCTGCCGGGTGCCTCTTTAGATCAAGCAACGTTTGGGACTGTGGCTGTGCCTTGGCAGAATTCCTGTGTTTCATGGCCGGTAATCCCAGAGGCTTAGTTCAAGTTCATGGTTAGTAAAAGGCTAACAGATTCCTGGTTCTGGTATTGTGGCTTTTGAAATTTTGCTCAAGTTCAGAGATTCTACTGACTGCTGTGTTTTTCTGTGGCTTTTGACTTTGCATTTACTTTTCTTTTGTAACAAATTTTTCATCAATAAACAAGGATTGCTTTTCCTACAGTCCAGTGTGGTGGATTTAATCTTATGGTCTCATTTCTTGAACTGGGATGCAACAATGAGCCTGTTTGCATACTGTATTGTAGTTGTGTTTTAGTATGCAGATTACCCTTTACTCTGTTTCTAGAGGTTGTAGGAGGGGCTGTAGAGCACATGATGAGATCTGGGACTGCTGAGATCTCAGATTCCCTTTAAGAATGCTGTTAACAATCCATAGTCCAATTGTGACTATGGATTGTTAACAGCAAACTCATGTTAACAACAAACTCATGCTGCTGTTGAATATAAGAAAAATGCCCTGTGTTATCTGCACAGAGAAACTACCGCATATACTTGAGTATAAGCCGACCCAAATATAAGCCTAATTTTACCACAAAAAACTGAGAAAACTTATGGACTTGAGTATAAGCCTAGGGAGAAACATGAATATATAGAAACATATTTATAGATCTATAGGGCTTGCAAAGGAAGGTGAACACGTCCACAGAACAAAAATGCACATATAAAGTTAATACATTGAGATACACAGAAATTGGGCTTGCAAACGATTTCAAGAGAAATGCATATATAAGATGAATATGCTTTCCTAATCTCTCCGAGCAATGAGTTCCAGAGTCGGGGGGCCACAGAGGAGAAGGCTCTCTCCCTTGTACCCACAAGACGGGCCTGTGAAACTGGCAGGGGGAGGGCCTCCCCTGAAAAACAAAAAGCTCGGGCTGGTTCGTGGAGAGAGATACGGTCACGAAGGTAGGTGGGTCCCAACCCGTTTAGGGCTTTGTAGGTGATGACCTGCACCTTGAATTGGGGTCGGAAAATAAACGGCAGCCAGTAAAGCTCCTTAAACAGAGGGGTTGACCGCATAAGTAAAATAGTTTTTGGTATAACATCGTTCCACATGCTTACAGGCCGAAGTGCTGAATTATAATTAGGAAACAGACAATGATGGTTAAAAATGCATCCCAGACTATGTGGCTACATTCCAGGCAATAAATCCCCAACTTACCACCTAGATCAACAATGCAATCCAAGCAAAAAACAAAAACAAAACAGGAATTAGAGCAAGCACTCTGAAGGGGAAGGAGAGGCGAAAGAGGCAAGAAACATTGGCTTATTAAATTAAACTAGGTGTTGTGTATTTTTCACACTTAACGAAATGCAAAGTCAGACAAATGTTATTTAAACTTAGGAAGCCATCCAAAAATGTTGGAACTTATTTAGCTATCTAAAATATGCAGAGGTATAGATACCAAGTATATCTATATAATTTTTTTCTGATTTCAATGAGTTGTGCTTAATGTTATGCAAGTAGAAATCTGCTCCCACAATTAGAAAGCCTTCTACCCACTAACAGAGGGTAGAAAAGCATCTGTAGAGAGCCATGGGACTCTCAGAAAATTGCTGGAATTTGGCCGGAAGACACGTAGCAAGAGGACAGGATAGGCCAAAAGTTAGAAGAGGCAGCTCATTAATCACAACCAAATTAAGGGGGAAAATAACCCATCCTAGCAAATAACTGTGTTTCAGCTCTATCCAGGGCCATTTGGGTCACCTTGCTTTTGTTGATTCTAAACACCATTTGCCTCTTTTTCTTCATTGCCTTCATTCTCCTCAACAACCTTTGACCACCTGGCTACTTAATCCTATTAGCTATGGCCACCCTACATGATTTGTGTATAAGCGACTTTGGTATCACCACATTAGAAAGACCCCACAATGTCAGCAACAAGTCAAACGGGCTTGCAGCAGCTAAAAGAGTTAAATAGGAACATGGGTAAACAAGACAAAGCCAAGCGAGGGAAAAGATGATAGAAGCTGTGATGGGTTGAGCTTCATTTTATTGAAAGAGATGGGTTTGTAACCTTTTCAAAAGTACAGTAAGACCACTGTACTCACAGGAGAAACATTTCTAAATGGAACATGGTTACCCGAAAGATGGATATGATCTATACTTTAAAGTTGTGCTGCGGATCTAGATATTCCTTGAGAAGCATCCTCACTAGGAATTTGCTAGGAATTCTAATATGAGTCTATGGTAGCTTCCAAAAGAAGCAAACCTTAAATCAGGGGTCCTCAAACTAAGGCCCAGGGGCCGGATACGGCCCTCCAAGGTCATTTACCCAGCCCTCACTCAGGGTCARCCTAAGTCTGAACTGACTTGAAAGCACACAACAACAACAACAACAACAACAACAACAAACCTATCTCATCAGCCAAAAGCAGGCCCATACTTCACACTGAAATACAAATAMATTTATATTTGTTAAAATTGTTCTTCATTTTAATTATTGTATTGTTCTTAAGGTTTTTTTTTTTTTTGCACTACAAATAAGATATGTGCAGTGTGAATAGGAATTCACTCATGTTTTTTTTTTTTTCAAATTATAATCTGACCCTCCAACAGTTTGAGGGACTGTGACCTGGCCCTCTGTTTAAAAAGTCTGAGGACTCCTGCCTTAAATCATGCTAGAGGACTTAGCAAATTCCACAAGAGACCATTTTCTCTGAGCACGRGGAAGTGAATCTGTAGATACAGGTTCTGTGGTTAAAGAAGGTAAAATTCATTTTTGTCATGAAATAACASGTCCACCAGAGACTGTCAAATTTATTTATTTATTTAGAACAATTATATCCCGTCCTATTCTCGACCTCCGAAGAGGGACTCATGGCGGCTACCAGCAAGCAACAATTCGATGCCAATACAATATAAAACAGCAATACACAATTAGATTAAATGTTTATAAATATACATTAAAAACAGTTTGCCAGGTTTAAAACATCCTCTAAATTAGTCTAAATTACGGTCCATAAAATCTCAACTTCACCAATAAAATCAGTCTATTCTACCAATGCTTGCTCCCACAGCCAGGATTTAAGTTTATTGCGAAATGTCAGGAGGGAGGGGGCAGATCTAACCTCCTCAGGGAGAGAGTTCCACAGCCAAGGGGCCACCACAGAGAAGGCCCCGTCTTTCATCCCCACCAAACGTGGATGTGATAGTAAGCTGGGCCAGAGCCATTTAGGGCTTTATAGGTCAAAACAAGCACTTTGAATTGTGCTCGGAAGCCTTGCATTATTTCTTACTAGTCAGACAGAATGTGTTATGAACAAGAGTGATTCTTTTTTTTTCTTTTTTGCATTTGATACTTTCTGTGCCAGACCCAGGAGTTCATTGATTTATCTGTCATCACTATTCATTAGGGGTGTGTAAAATTTTGTAAGTCGTATCTAATTCATAGGTTTTGTATATATGAACAGATATTAAGAGACATGGGGGGTGCAAAAACTTAAGAATCAAAACACTTTTTATTTGAATTCTGTAATGCTCATAAACCTATTAAAGTCAATTTCATTTTCAGTGCAAGCAAGGGGAAAGCAAAAAAGCTGTCATTCCTCTTTAAATTGATAACCTCTTGCCATGAGGAGAGGAAAGCAGCAGGGAAGGACAACGTTGAGTGAGCTGGGAAAGAGACTGTGAGAATTCTGGGAAATGTAGTTTGGGAAGGTAAGGAGCCCTGCGGCAGAGAATTTAAAAGGCCCTGCCCTAAACTACATTTCCCAGCATTCCGCCCAGCATCAGAAAGCTCCAATTAGGATAGGTGAGAAATTTCTCCCTCTTAGCAGCAGCCAGAGTTCCAAAAAAATGTTGAATCTGCAAAGAAGAGAACTAATTGATACTTCAATACAAGTAGGTAAATCAGTGCTGGGCTGGGAAGAAATCTCTAAATTGAAGTTCTCTTGGTTAATATGAGAGACATTCAATAAGATAGCTATTGTGGCTTTTTAAAAAGTTTTTATCAAAACTTTAAAAAATCCCCAAAATCAGTAGATGTATGAATAATTTCTGAAATTTGGAGAAAATTATCCCCTGTTATCTTGGTCATTTTAGAAAAAATTCAGAGAGATGGGTCTTGTAGTTTTTTAAAAAAGTTGTAAAAACTGAAAATTTTCCAAAAATCTGTGGATGAGTGAAACGTTCTGAAACTTGATGGGTTAACAGTGGTAAATCTGTTCTATAATTGTAGCAAGTTTTATGCCAATTGTGCTAATAATTAGGGAGAAAAGTGCCCCTGAAGTTTCTCCACTGACACAATTAATTACATAACAAAAAGTAAGGAAAAAATAGTTAACTTGTTATAGTTACAATACAGATGCCATCCCATTTTGAGAACACTTTAGAAACTATTTTCTCTCCACCCCAATTTCATAATGAGTAATGAAACTTTTTTTTCATTGATGCACAGGCCTACTATTCATATCGGGCTGTCACAAAGAGGAGAGTGCAGGTTTTAAGAGTAGGAATAGGTCTAACGGTTTTAAGTTACAGGAAGGTACATTTGAATTTGAACATCAGAAGAAACTTCTTGACAGTAAGAGTACCATCTGCCTGGAGAGATAGTAGGTTCCCCTTCAAAATGGCTAGAACGATAGCGGAGAACTTCAAAAAGAGCCTAGACAGTTCCCATTTGAGGATGCTGTAGCTGAGGTTCCTATACTGAACAGCGGGTTGGCCTCAATAGTCTATGAGACTCCATCCAACACTATAATCCCATGATACTAGGATTTCACTTCATGAATTAAAGAGCATTTGAAAATGGCATGCCTACTCTACCATCTAGTGGTCAAAACATAGAGTGACAGTGTAGCAAGGTAGAAACTCATAAAACAGTGGTTCTCAACCTTCCTAATGCTGTGACCCCTTAATACAGTTTCTCATAACATTATTTTCGTTGCTACGTCATAATGGTAATTTTGCTACTGTTATCAATCGTAATGCAAATATCTGATATTCAGGGTGTAGGTTCATTCACTGGACTAAATTTGGCACATACCCGATATGCCCAAATTTGAATACAGGTGGGGTTGTGGGGGAGGGGGGGTTGATTTTGTCATTTGGGAGTTGTAGTTGCTGGGATTTATAGTTCACCTACAATCAAAGAGCATTCTTTGATTGTAGAGACCTCGTCAAAGAGACCTCGTGGGTCATTCAGTCCAACCCCATGACAAGAAGCAGGAAAATCACATTCAAAGCTCCCCTGACAGATGGCCATCCAATCCCTGTTCAAAAGCCTCCAAAAAAAGGAGCCTCCACCACACTCCATGGCAGAGAGTTCCACTGCTGAACAGCTCTCACAGTCAGGGAGTTCTTCCTAATGTTCAAATGGAATCTCCTTTCTTGCAGTTTGAAGCCATTGTTCTGTGTCCTAGTCTCCAGGGCAGCAGAAAACAAGCTTGCTCCCTCCACCTTATGACTTCCTCTCACATATTTATACATGGCTATCATGTCTAGGCATTTTAGGCAAATCTAGGCATTTTAGTAAAAAAAAACTGAAACCAAAAATCTAGGTCAATTTATCCATAGTACTCTGCCTTAACTCCAGTTTTTTTTAAAAAAAGGAACTGCTCTTGTTCAAGTAGAATGGTAAAAAGCAAAAGCTTAGTTTGTCCCAGGAGAATCCAAATGGCAAACTGACCTTCTCTACTTTCTACACCGCAATCCTGCATCTGGCCTGGGCAGGAAATTGGAAGCAGTGACCGAGGTGGCTAGACCCCAAAGTGGCACTGTCTCCTTCCCTTCTTTGCATAATGACCCACAATAGTCCCATAATGATCCATGGGTTATATATCAGGATCCATAATTATGGCCCTATAACCTGTCCTCAGCTAATACACAAAGCCATGATAAAAGCACAGCCAAATTGCCTTTATGAAAATCTTGGAAGGAGAAGAAGAAAGCCTGATCATTTACACCATGGAAAACAACACCTATAAAATGTCATAACTAAAAAACAGGGGGTGGGGTACTATTTCTACCATGCCAGACATTTAGGTTCTTAAGAAAAATTATTTTGCACTGTGGTTGAGGGCTTAAAACTGGGAGCCACAGAGCTGCTACCAGTTTACCATAGTATCAGAGTTGCAAGACAGAAGAAGAATCCACAGACAATTCAAGCCAAGAAACAGATCAGCACTAATCTAAGCAAGAGAGTCTAGGAGACAAGGAAAGACCATTCCAATCTGCTTCCCGCATCCTACCTAAACTTGGCACAAATATTCCATATGTCCAAATATGAACACAGATGGAGTTTGGGGAAAATAGACCTTGACATTTGGGAGTTGTAGTTACTGGGATTTATAGTTAACCTACAATAAAAGAGTGTTCTGAATCCCACTAACGACAGAATTGTGGAAAACTTCCCACACAGAACCCACATGCAAACAGAAAATACTTAAGGCCATCCAATCCAACTCCCTTCACTAGAGCAAGAAAATGTAATCGAAGCCCTCCTGACAAAGAGCAACCCAGCCATAGATAGATTTACATGATTCACACACACAGAGATATAGTATGATAGATTTGAAAGGAACCCCTAAAGAAGGACTATTATATGTTGCATGTTCCGGAGTGGGCAAACCAGACAATCTCTGCATCAACATTGACAAAGAAACAACAAGAAACACTGTTTACCCACAAGCATAAAGAAATTACTTATATTAGAAACCAACATTTTCTCATTACTTTATTTTTCCAGATCATCAGACTAGGCCACAGCAATGCGTGGCAGGGGACTGCTAGTTTCTAAAAACTTTCTATGTCTTCTGGTGCAACTGAAGTTCCAGTGGCAACTGACACCGAATTGTGCTAGAGGACCTACGAGTCTCTAGACAATCATCCCCCCCCCCCCGAAATCTTTAGGCCCACATTTGCTACTCTAACCTTCCACCAGAAGTCTTGCTAGAGGACCAAGGGATTTTTAGACAAACATATTCATGAAATCTGCAAATAATCAGATCCACAAAAAGGTAAGTCCACAAATATGGAGAGTTGACTGTATACCTTTTGGAAAGGCCTCTCAATTAAAGTATTTCCATCTACCTTGCTAATTTGCAACTGAGAAGGATTAGGCGATTTGTTTGCCTCCCAGTTATTAGCCTCTGTTTGCCCATAGCATGTACTCTTCGGCTTCCCCTTGAAATGTCCAGGCTATTATATTTTGTTGATCTAGTTCATCTGGGTTACAATTCTGGCTTTAGACCATACATCATTCCACTTCATTTGCCCCAAGCATTTCTGGCTGCAAGAACCCAGCATTGCGAGGTCATTGGCAGGGAGCACTCCAGTATATCAGATTGAATGAAAGAGCATTTTGAAATCTCTATTGAAAAAGGTAATTTGAAGAATACTCACATGGCCATGGAGGTCAGTGTTGAGCAGCATAATTGCACACGTGAGGCAATGGACACCATCTGCAAGAGAAAACACACCAGAAAGATGACATATAAAAAGCTACAAAGGGAAAGAGAGAGTAAATCACACTTCCCACTACTCACAGCTGGTTATGAGAGAATGATTCACGTTTTGTTGGGACTCCTGCAGCCTCACTAACACTCCCCCCTCCCCCATGCAATTTGTTTATAAAGAAATGCCTGACATGAATCATGACAGAAATCTCATGAAATGAAGTCATTTGCAGGAGGGGAGGAAAAGAGGGGTGAAAAAGACAACAACAGATAAGTCATGCTTGGAAGAAAAGATGCATGGAGTTCAGCAACCTGCACAACCTCAGGCTGGATCTATACTGCCATATAATTTGATTCAAAGCAAATAATATGGGTTTTATATGGCAGTGTGAATGGGGCCTCAGTTGCAGGGGTTCTCATTTTTCAACCTAACTTGCAATCTAGTTAAGAAGAGAACTAGACTACTGCAACACGCTCTATGTGGAGTTGCCTTTGAAGACTGTTCAGAAGCTTCAAGCAGTCTAACGGGTGGAAGTGAGATTCCTTACTAGAGCGGAATACGGGGAGGACATAACCACCCTGTTACAGAAGCTCCACTGGCAGCCAGTCTGCTACTGAGCACAAGCATAATTCGAAGGGCTGGCTTTAGCCTATAAATCCCTAAACAGTTCTGGTCCGGCTTACCCATCCTGAACATGTCTCTCTTTATGAGCCAGTTAGAGCACTAATAATAATAATAATAATAATAATAATAATAGTAATAATCTTTATTTATACCCCACCACCATCTCCCCCAACTGGGACTTGTAGCGGTTTACATGGGACCAAGCCCGAACAGCAAATTATAATCCAAAAATACAAATTGCAATAAAATATTGGCTTGGGAAGTCCTGCTCTTGGTCCTTCCTCCATCGCAAGTGCGACTGGTTGGGGACGAGAGACAGAGTCTTATCGTTGGTGGCTCCTTGGTTGTGGTACTCCCTCCCCAGCAAGATTAGATCGCCCCCCTCCCTCGTGGTATTCAGAAAACACCTTAAAACTTGGTGATGTAAAAAATCGTCTGGTGAGTGATAATAACATCGAAACAGATAGACAACAACCTTGGGATCAGTGCAATGTTTAAATGTCTAATACGTTTTAGGTCTATGTCTGATGTTTATAGTTTTAATGATATTTAGTTATATGTCATTGTTGTAAACATGTGACATAGTGTTTTATTATTTGTGAGTCATTGGATTTTTGCCATTTACTTGATGTGCACCACTCTGAGTCCCCCCAGGGGTGAGAAAAGCGGAATAAAAGTGCAATAACTAAATGAGAAGAGAAAGGATTTAGTCAAATTCAGTCTCAATGAGATTAACTGTCCCCAAGACCAGACAAGCCTAGCTTTAAAGGATTGCTTTTTCTCATGACTAGAAATCTTTCCCATTTATACACTGCCCCACTCCTCTCTCCGAATCCCTTCTTGAAACTCTTTATTTCTACTGAAATTTAAGCATATGGAACTACATTTGTTCACAGTGCTACCACTGCTTTTCAACATTCAAGCTGTAGGGTGATCTGGGTGAGGAACAGTCTCTTTTGCTCATATAAGGTCTGCAAAGCACATGAGGAGGGGGACAAAAAGGAAAGGTGGAGTCCTGCTTGAACAGCTTATTGAGCATATGTATGCATGTAAAAAGATGTATGTATACGTTTGTGAAACTCACAAACAGGTCAGTATAACAAGCCCCATTCTGTGAGGTCTATATCAACCTACGACACACAGAGGTAGTTGGAATTTGCCTTCCTCTGAGACTGGAAGAGTGTAAGTTTCCATGACCAAGTGTGGATTCGAACAATGGTTTTCACAGTTGTCGCAAAATGCTCAAACCACTATACATACTATTCGCATGTATGTATGTATGTATGTACGTATAATTTCATTCAGTGACTAACCCTTTCAAATTATTGAGTGAGGTAGATTAGGATTGTATTTTAAATACAAAAATTCAAGATTTAAAAGTATTTCTGTCTATTCTTCTCGGGCACTGTTGTTTGTTGTTATTAATCCTATGTGTGTTTTTAATGGTCCTATGGGCAATGATTTTTCATCTTCTCTTAAGTTAAAAGTAAAGGTTGTCCCCTGACATTAAGTCCAGTCATGTCTGACTCTGAGGGTTGGTGTTCATCTCCATTTCTAAGCCGAAGAGCCGGCGTTGTCCATAGACACCTCCAAGGTCATGTGGCCGGCATGACTGCATGGAGCGCCGTTACCTTCCCACCGGAGTGGTACCTATTGATCGACTCACATTTGCATGTTTTCAAACTGCTAGGTTGGCAGAAGCTAGAGCTGACAGCGGAAGCTCACGCTTCTCTCCGGAATCGAACAAGCTCAGCAGCTCAGTGCTTTAACCCACTGCGCCACCGGGGACTCCATTTCTTAAGTTACTTAGCTGTATTTTATACTCTTGGATGTTTAGTAAGTTCAGCCCTGGCTAGTACCGCTTCCTCTTTCTCCCTGTTAGGGTACATCTACACTACAGAGTTAATGAGGTTTGGCATCACTTTAACTATATTGGCTCAATGCTATGAAATCCTAGGATTGTGTAGCTTAGTGAGGCACCAGCAACATTTGACAAAGAAGTCTAAAGATCTTGTAAAAATACACCAGTTAAAGTGGTGCCGAAATGCATTAATTCTACAGTGCAAATGCACCCTTAGTCTCATAAGTGCTACAACATCACTTTACAACATTGGAGGATAGGAGGGTGCCAGAAAGTGATTTGTTTAGAACAGGGGTCCTCAAACTAAGGCCCGGGGGCCAGATGTGGCTCTCTAAGGTCATTTATCCGGCCCTAGCTCAAGATCAACGTAAGTCTGAAACTACTTGAAAGCATATAACAACAACAACAACAACAACAACAATCCTATCTCATCAGCCAAAAGCAGGCCCACACTTCCCATTGAAATACTAATAAGTTTATATTTGTTAAAATTTTTCTTCATTTTAATTTTTGTATTGTTTTAAAATGTTTTTTGAATTACAAATAATATATGTGCAGTGTGTATAGGAATGCATTCTTTTTTCTTTTTTTTCAAATTATAATCCGGCCCTCCAACAGTTTGAGGGACTGTAACCTGGCCCTCTATTTAAAAAGTTTGTGGACCCTGGTTTAGAAGCATCCTTGGATTTAAAACAGGAGGCAAAATTCAAATGTAGTCTCTCAGTTCAGTCTTTCAACAAAGGCTCCAGAAACGGTGATACATCAATAAACTGGCATTTCTTTCTATAAAACAAAGGAGTGCAATTTCAAGAACTAAAAGGGCTTTGAAGATAAATATCTCCTTCCTTTTTGTGCTCACCACTCACTATATTTCCCTCCAAACCTATTTCACCAGCTAGAAATGAACCCATTTGGGAGAAAAGCATTTTGGGGAAGAAAATACTCAGGGCAAGAAAAGCATTTAGGAACTTTAAACATCATTGCTCTCTCTTTGGTTCTTTAAATTACATTCTTCACAAAGAGAGGAAGAGGCTGTTCCATTTACATGAAATAATATGATGAAATGGGACTGCAGTGGCGCAGTGGGTTAAACCGCTGAGCTGCAGAACTTGCTTGTTGGTCATGTCAGGAGTGACTTGAGAAACTGCAAGTCGCTTCTGGTGTGAGAGAATTGGCCGTCTGCAAGGATGTTGCCCAGGGGATGCCCGGATGATTTGATGTTTTTATCATCCTTGTGGGAGACTTCTCTCATGTCCCCGCATGAGGAGCTGGAGTTGATAGAGGGAACTCATACCTTTCCGGTAACAGTTCTGCTGGCTCAAGGGTTTAAGCCATTGTACCACCGGGGGCTCCGATCTTAATATGGTGAAAGATACAAATGCAGTGATGAAAAAGGCCATAAAAACAATAAATGTCCTCCTTTAATATCCAACATTACTCCAAATAAATTCCTGAATTCGAAAAAAGAGTAGGGTTTTCTGTCTTGACTGTTTCCTACATGATGGAGGTTATTAAACTTCCATTGTTCTACTTCCATTTTATTATGACTGAATCTCAAAAAGCGGACATGATTCAGTACCAACTACAGTGGTATCCAATGCAATGAATTCAGAAATTAATTGCAGGCTAAGGAGTTTTAAGCTCAGAGAAAAATATGTTCTGATTTTGCTAGATAATGTTTTTGCCTTTCATTTTTACCCTGCTGTTCTTAGCTTTATCATCATGTTTTTATTTTTCTTTAATCTTTGGATTAAAGTGTGGTTTTAGTATTTTATTTTAGACTGTGCCTGGGGGAAATGTAGGAAATAAACATTTTAAATAAAATGAAAATAAATTACCTTGTGTGGAAATGGCATTTGGGTTGCAATGATGGTATCTGTTGGAGAAATGAACTAGCACTCTCTCTCTTTCCTGAGTTTCTCCAATGAGAGAAAAGGCTTTAAAGAATGTCCTAAGAAGAAATTTAGAGGGGAGAAAAACATCAAGTCAAGCAAGCTGTTAAAGCTCTTTCGCCAATACCAGAAAGTAGCAATAGCTTTGTCAGAGGGTGGAAGACAATTGAACGAATAGTAGTGAAAATATTCATAATACTTTTGATGCAGTTGAAGAAGTATTGCAGGTTTTTATTTTGTAATAACAAAAATTACCGTATATTCTGACGTATAAGACTACTTTTTAACCCAAGAAAATCTTCTCAAAAGTCAGGGGTTGTCTTATATGCGGGAGTAATCTTATACTCAGGAGTAGCTTTATATGCGGAGGTAGTCTTATACACAGGAGTAGTCTTATACGTGGGAGTAGTCTTATACGCCAGGAGTCATCTTATAGAGCGGGTGCTGAAACTTCTAATCGGATTGGAGAATCTGTGGTTGCCATATGCAGCGACTGTATGAAAGCATTAAGGGCGATGCTGTACAAGTACGGTAGAAGAAAATCCATTCATCAGGATTCGTGGACTTAATACGGTCCCGATGGTGAGGTGAAGGGGCACCTCACTGGGAAGGTGTAAGTGAAGGGGGAGCAAACTGCAGGCGTCCGGGGCGCCCGGGATGTGGAAAAAAGAGATAGAGTGGCTCTGGGCTAAGACAAACACACCTCTTTTACCTGTCTGGCCCGCCCTTGTATCCTGTTACCATACCTCCTCCTCTAACTCTCAGATCTCGCTCCTGAAGACTGCAGTGAAGCGGTGCAGGCGCGCAGGTGTGAGATCTGAGAGGTAGAGAAGGAGGTATAGTAATAGGAAAATTATCATATTGAAATCAAATCTGATACTTTAAAAAAAATTTATTTGGTGTGCATTGGAAGAAGGGTAGTCTTATACGGCAAATATATTCCAAACTCTATATTTTAACTGGAAAAGTTGGGGATTGTCTTATACACCCAGTTGTCTTATATGCTGGATATACGGTAAGTAGATGCATCATGTTTTTAATTGTTATATTTGTTATTTTGTATTTTAAGATGCGGCATCGAATTATTGCCAATTGGAAGCCACCGAGTCCCCCTAGGGGTTGAGAAGGGCGGGGTAAAAATGTTCGAAATAAATAAATACATAAAATTGGCAAGGTTTGATCAAAGGAGCTTTGCCACTGATTTCCTCTTAGGCCAAGAATGTGACTTACTCAATGTCACTCAGGTTTCCATGGATAAGTGGGGATTAAACTATGATCTAATTTGTGGCTTCTTAAACGTTTTCATTGGGATCGCTGTTGGCCCAAGAATTTTTTTACATGACTCAATGTATATAGGTATATAAAATAGATATACAACTCAAACATTTACTAGATAATGATTCATCATTTGCAAGGCTGATTTTTATTTTTAAGAAATACAGCTGAAGCATTTTCTGCAGAGTCCACTGCAAACACTGCATATTATTGCCAAAAGATATGTGCAAAAGTTGGCCTTCAGAAACTTTTTACTGTTATCAAATTTTTGTGACCTCACCACTGAGCTATTTGGAGTCGGGACATGCAGTTTAAGAAGCTGTAATCCACCACTGAAACCATTATATCATGCTAGCTCTTAACTTGCTACACAGCCAAACTTCTATATTATACACTTCACTAGTGAGACAAAGTGTAAAAAGAGGTTCTTTAATACTAAGGCAGAATGGTCAGAATAGTGACAGACTTAGAAAGAGAAACGGACACAGGAGAGATATAAAGCTAGAAAGTTAGGAAACTGGTTTCAAAAGCATGGTCGGGAAAGAGGGAGAAGCAAAAAAAAGGAAGGAGGAAAACAATTAAGAGGCTTACTCTTGAATGGCAGATCAAATATCATCACAAGTATACCAGACGTTTGCCTGATTTTGGAGGGAAGAGGACAGCTGGGAGGAGGCCTTTTACACAGGAGTTGCTAGAAATACAATGCATTATTCTGTCATCTGCTTCCATCTCAGACACTATGTCTGCAAACATAACAACCGGTATCAAGGACCAGACAGAAAGGACCAAGAAGAACGATATAATTGCTAGCGCAATGAATAGAAATGTACTAGCACTGGATTCCACACATATAAAACTCTTTTTTGATTTATCCAGGTGTTTGACTAGATCTTTCAAACAACACTGTGCATCCCTATGCCACCTCGTCTTCTACACCATGCATATATACACCATACTGTCCTTACCCATCTCTTCAAAGAACAGGACAGTGGACTAGAAGAGCTAACTTTTCCCAAAGCTTTCTGCCTAGACATGATGGACAACATTTCCAACCATCTTCAGGCAATAAAGCTATTGTGGATTCCTGTTCCCCAGCTTCTATTTAGGTTGGTTGGGAAAATGTGTTTTGTGAAGATGTGAAGAGAAAGGGAGGTTTTCCTTATCTCAGAATTAGGCCAGTGTAGGTGTAAATTAAGGTAGGTGCATACATGGTTCAAAGCAGATGAGATACAACTCATGAGGGATAGCATCTCCTCCTACCAGTCCACATGAGCCCTGATATCATCAGGAGAGGCCCTCCTCTCAGTCCCACCACCATCACAAGTACAGTTGGTAGGAGAGAGGGCATTTTTGGTGGTGGTCCCATGGCTTTGGAACTCCCTTCCCATAGAGGTACGTTCGGGACCCTTTGTTGTTGGCATTCCACTCCCAGCTGAAAACGTTTTTATGGAAGCAGACCTTCCTCGACAACATACAATAGCAGCTATCTCAGCCAGTCAAGACTCACATGGCCAAAGACTTGGAGCTCTGAGTCGTTTAGTTTAATGTTTAATGATTTAACTTGTTAAGACAACCTCAGTGGCCAGAGGCACAAGAATATAGCCCGAAAAAAACTACAACAACCCACCGATATATGTGATTATTTTAATGTTTATTAACATTTATGTAATCTATGGTTTATGCAATGTCTGGATTTATTGTTTATATGTTGGGTGGGTGGGATGATGGTTTTCTGTATTATGTAGTTGTCCTTTTTATTTTGTTCATCACTTTGAGTCCTGTTCATGGGAGAAAAGTGGAATAAAAGTAAACAAATAAATAAATAATAACTCAAGAAGAAATATTTAAGAGATGGTGTCATACCTGAGGGAATGATCCAAGGAGAGGCCCGTGAAATCAAAAAACTTGAGGTATTCCTCAGCTACTAGTCTGCTGAACTCATTGCTTCAACCGAGAGAAAGAAGGAAGAACAAAACAAGTCATGGGTTCATCCTGATCATTCCCAAGGTGTTATATGAACACAATTCTATGCAGAAAGTCAAGACTTACTTTTTCCCCAAATGCCTTGCTACATCAGAGCGTCTGAATCTATCCAGATGATAGAGTCGCTTTGCCAACCTCCTGGCTGCTTCCAGATTGCCACTTGTGGTGCCATTGCTAAGGTCATGCGTCAAGTTTTCATGCCCCTCGCTTTCCAAAAAGTCATTGGTTCCCATGTCCCCTATGGCATCTAGCGGTGTTGGGCATTCCGGTCTTGCATTGCTACAAAACAGTTTTTAAGAAATCGAAAGAAACAAGAGAAGAGAAAAATATTAATGCTTTTCAGGGACAATTTTTTAAGCATTTATTATTATTATTATTTTGCTCCATCAAACATACATGGCACTTTACAAAATCAAATCAGTAAATAACCCTTTCCTCTTTTATCCTACAGATTTCAATGCTTACTTTCATTATGTTAATAGAACTAGAACAAACTACAACTGCAAACTTGACTTTTCATGTCTACATATGGCAACAAAAAAGTCTGATATGGTACCTCTTATCCTCAGATTCAATATCCACGGTTTCACTTACCTATGCTCCCAAAAATTACCCATCCCCTCGTGTTTATGACTTTTTTTTAGGTACTCCAATGTGATTCTAGTTCAAGGTTTCAAGTTCAAGTGTTGGAGCTCAGCAGCAAACAGCTGGGGATTTGGGGGATTTTTCTGATGTTTCAGTGGATGAGGAAATTGATGGGTTTCAAAGTGCAGAGCCTGCTAATGATCGGGGGAATTGCAGGCTGAGGAGGCCCGTTTGGGATTCCCTAGCAAAGAGAACAAAAGTAAAAAGTTCAGTTCCCTTGAGGACGGCCAAATGGGGAGTTTTCCCATGGAGCCAGATTAGGGCTCCGGGCAGAGGGAGTAAAAGATAGATTAGTTAGACATTCACTCCGTGAGAAGTCCTTGAAGAAGCCCAGGTGTGTTTGGCATGATCTCATGGCTTCTTAGTCGGGGTTGGGTTTAAATTAAGTGGTGTTTACTTGTTGTCTGAGAGAAGACAACATTGCCATAAGGATGGTGGTCCTGTCTTGACTTTTTAGTTTATGTTTCCTGTCTTTGTCTATATTCCTGGAAAGGTTTGCCTTGGGAAAAGTTCTTGCTTTCATGCTTATGTTTTTGGTTCTTTTGGCTCCATGTACTTTGCCATTTTTTTGGATTGCTACTATTTTGTATATGGACTACTGCTATTTTGTATTTCCTTCTCTGCTGACTTTTGGGGAAATACCTGTTTCCCTTTGTATATGCTTTTCTTAATAAACTGCTGTAGTTAATACTATTGGACTATTAGTGTTTCAAGGCTACAGTACAACATCAAGTATAGTCAAAATATAGGGTTTACTATTAACCACTGTTTCAGATATCACAGGGGATCTTGAAATGTATGTCCCACAAATACAGGAGGTGTATTGTATATAGTAACAAACATTTAAAGTAGGGGTCCACAAACTTTTAAACAGAGGGCCAGGTCACAGTCCCTCAAACTGTTGGAGGGCCGAATTATAATTTGAAAAAAAAAACATGAATGAATTCATATGCACACTGCACATATCTTATTTGTCGTGCAAAAACACTTTAAAACAATACAATAATTAAAATGAAGAGTAATTTTAATAAATATAAGCTATTAGTATTCAATGGCAAGTGTGGGCCTGTTTTTGGCTGATGAGATAGAATTGTTGTTGTTGTGCTTTCAAGTCGTTTCAGACTTAGGTTGACCCTGAACGAGGGCCAGGTAAACAACCTTGGAGGGCCGTATCCGGCCCCCGGGCCTAAGTTTGAGGACCCCTGATTTAAAGTTTGATATGCTAATACTTGGTATCAGTAAGGGAGGTCTAGTGAAGACACGGGCTTGTCTTCTTGTAGCTTTTGATAAAATAAAATAAAATCGGGGTGGGAACCAACATTGTATACATGCCTCAATGCTTCCATCTCTGTGTGCTGTCATGATAAGGGATGCTCAATTTGTATTTCACTGGATAATTCTTGTTAAAGGAGGCACAGGTAGCCGGGTTGGGAATGACTTTTGGCTGAGATCCCAGAGAGTCACTGCCTGCCATAATACTGAGGTAGATGAATTGAACCTCGAATAAATAAGTTTATAGATCCATATGTTTTCAATATATGTAGCCCTAGACAATCCCTTCTATAACATAACATGCACTTTATTTGCATTTGTTTCTTTCAGCACTGGTATATTTGCCATCAATATAAACAAGAAAGCCTCCGAAAGGTCATTTTATCCCATCTGGTTTCAGCAGCTGGGACTTTAATTACAGTGCCAAACTGATTTTACCATACCTGTTTGATCCCACACAGTTGCCACTGACATCACCAATTTTTTCTATGGCTTTTTTCATCCTGCCCTAAACAAAAACTAATTGCTGGTCAGTTTGAAGTGGCTGGCAAAGTCTGTGAACTTTTTGTCTGTATATGTTTCCAGCACAGCAGTTAGTTGACAAAATCCTTGGGTCTAGAGGAAGCTGAAACAGGTACTTGCTTTCTTCATGCAAACTGAGAGGTTTGAAGAAGGGGGAAAGCCCCCCGTCATTGCCTTGCCCTTCACACATCCATATGACCAGGAGAAATTATGGTGAGTGTTCCAGATTCTTTTCATGAAATGACATCATAAGGAAATTCCGCTTCACAGACTTTCTGGCATCATTAGATCCACCAGCTGTTGAATGTGCTGGGCAGATCCTGCATGCTAACGTTTTTCTTCTCCAGCCCCATTCCATACTTTACAGCTGTTACTACATCCCTGGTATGTCAGGAGCAACCTCCTGCAAAACCATCGTTCTCTACCTGGATAAAAGAAGGAAATCCTATCCACATGCACAATTCCATATTCTAATTTGCAAACCACAGCACCAGTCTGGTTAATAAAGTTAATGAAGCTGATGTGTTTGGGGGCATTTCAGAGATGGCAGGAGGGGGATAAGTTTGTTGCTACACCAGAAAAAAAAGAAGAACATGTTCCAGCAACCCTTTTATTCAAAACTAGCTGTACCCACCACGCGTTGCTGTGGCCAACCTACCCTCCGTCTTTCTCTCCTCCTTTCTTTCTCTCCTCCTTTCTTTCTCTCCTTCCTTCTCTTCTTCTTCCCTTCTTTTTCGCCCTTTTCTTTCCCTTCCGCTTTCTCCCCTTTCTTCCTTCTCTACCTATTCTTGGACTTCAACTCCCAGCAGTCCTTCTGATCAAGCTATCTATCTACCTATCTATCTCTATCTAATCTATCTATCTTATCTATCTGGAGGATTGCTGGGAGTTGCAGTCTAGGAATAGTAAATTGGAAATATGCAGGAGTTGGGATGCTTTCAATGAAATCCAAGGAGAAGAAAGCTTGCATCTTGGAAGCAGTGGATTTGGATCCTCCTCCTCTCCTAAATGGCCTGGTCTAGGAGATGCTGGGAGCTGTAGTCGGAAGAGAGTGTGGATATGCTATTGTGTGTTTGTTTGTCAGAGGGAGTCATTTTGTGCATATGCTGTAGCATCTTTTTGCTTTTTTTGGCTTTTTTAGTCCCTTTTGCTGTGTTTTCTACTGTTTTTATGAGTGATGGTCACTCATCGGCCTGACAGATGTACTGTGTCCAAATTTGGTGTCAATTCGTCCAGTGGTTTTTGAGTTCTGTTAATCCCACAAACAAACATTACATTTTTATTTATATAGATGAACAATGAGAACAAGTGACAAGAAACAATTCAAGTCAGAAAAGTTAAACCATAGAAAACAAAACCATGCTGAACCTCCTAGAGATTATCTAAAGGTTTCTTCCAAAAAGCACCATGAATAATCCACCACATTTCTTAGTACTATCATTGCGGGAGGGTGGAGGTGGCTATGAAGGAAACCTATCCGTTCTCCCCTTTCTTTTAGGCCCCTTCCGCGAAGCTGTGTAAAATCAACATTGAAGTGGATTATCTGACAGTGTGGACTCAGATAATCCAGTTCAAAGTAGAGATTGTGGATTATCTGCCTTGATATTCAGATATGTATATTTTTTTCATGTCAGACGTGACTTGAGAAACTGCAAACTGCTTCTGGTGTGAGAGAATTAGTTGTCTGTAAGGACGTTGCCTAGGGGACGCCCAGATGTTTTACCAACCTGTGGGAGGCTTCTCTCAAGTATCTACATGAGAAGATGGAGCTGAAAGATGGGAGCTCACCCCACTCCCCGGATTCGATCCGCCTCCCTTTCGGTCAGCAGTTCTGCCAGCACAAGGGGTTAACCCATTTTGTCACCATGGGCTTCAATATTCTGGGTTATATGGCTGTGTGGATGGGCTCTTAGTTTTGCTGTGCACACATGCTCAATAAGAGATTCATAGTTGTTGTTGTTGCTGTTATTAATACTACGAGAATTGATAATTTTCTAATTAAGAAAAGATAATCTGTTGACACTGATGTTTGTGATGAACCACTTGGAGCAGCTACCCAAGAATCAACTGTAGTACATAAGCAGTGTCAAGGAAAAAATTTAAACCTCCTTGTTTATACAGTAAAGATTATATGAAACGTATATGTGTGTGTGTGTGTGTGTGTGTGTGTGTGTGTATATTGTATGAAACTTTTATAAGGGGTTGGTTTAACCTCCAGTTTGCAAATAAAACTGAATTACCATGTCGCGAAAGGATGCATGTCTATAAAGCGGTTTGAAAAGTTTGGAAAGTTCTATTTTCCCATGGTTTTGGACCAGGCCTTCGGGTAGTAGAAGTAAATGTATGCAGCATTTCAGAAAGACAATGACTGGAACGGCGATTTGACGGACAAGACCGTTTTATTGTTTTAATGATTGTTTTATTGCTCATGGATGTATTTTTAAATTTAATTTATGTCTAATTGTATAATTAAATAATTACAATTAAATAGTGTATAATTGTAATTGTTTGTACTGGCATTGAATTTTTGCCATTACTTATGTGTAAACCGCGTTGAGTCCCCCTCGGGGTGAGAAAAGCGGTATATAAATACTGTAAATAAATAAATAAAATAAATATTTTAGAGAATATTCTCAGAAATATCGAGTATCCAGTTTGATTGTGTATGGCAGCAGAAATCTGCATTCCAGTCTCTTTCGATCACTAAGCCAATTGGTTGACTTTGAACCTGTCTCAAACTATGCTTCCACATAACCTTGCCCTGTGTGATAATAAATGACTTATTTATATTTTTGAAATATTTTAAAATACCCTCTTTTCAGCCAAAGAAAACCTCAAGA